ACGGGTGTACTTACCTACATGCAGGCAATACACGCATACACTAAAATAAAAATAAATGAAATATTAAAAAAACAACAACAACATAGAACTGGGGTGCTCAACCTTAGGGTTTCCATTTACTATACATGAATAAAAGATATACTTCAGGCTTTTTCTAGTGTAAAGACTGATTTATTAAAGTTCTTACATGCTTTCATTCTGTGTTTAACAAATCTGCTATGAAAAATTCAACTCAATTTTGATTATCAACCTTGCAGAACTTCAAGGGAAGAAGGCACCTGCTGTCTTTACACCAAGGGTTTCCGAAGGACAGCGTCTGAGCAGCTTGACATTTGGGTGCTTCTTATCCCGAGCAAAGAGTCCTCCTCAAATAGTAAAACCTGAGGAAATGAGCAAGATGTCATCATCCAAAGAACACAAGTTCACTGAAGGAAAACATGCAGAAGGTATTGACAGACTGTGGTAGTTCACTTAAGCATTTTCCCCAAAGAGGGGAAAATCCTTCACTAGGATTGACCAGAATTTAGCTTGATTCTATTTTCCCTGACAACTCAAGACTTCGTGGGTTGTTTAGTAAGGGCCAGCACTGAGCTGCATGTCTGTAGTTGTTCTGAGTCCTCTGTTTTTGCAGTGGTGCAGGGAAGACGCTGATTTTCCCCATCTTGCTACTTTTTCCTGTAGCAGGTAGAAATGATATTTAAGGGGCTGGAGAGATGGCTCAGCGGTTAAGAACACTGGCTGTTCTTGCAGAAGACCCGGGTTCGAATCCCAGAACCCACATGGCAGCTAACAACTGTCCATAACTCCAGTTCCAGGGGATCTGACAGCCTCTTCTTTCCTCCATGGGCATTGCACGACACGGGTGCACTTACCTACATGCAGGCAATACATGCATACACATAAAAATAAATAAAAAAATATTTTTTAAAAAGAAATGATATTTAAAATTTTTAATTTTCTAATCCCAATTGCAAAGTACATGTTTTAACCTCCTTTCATGTTAAAACTGTATTGTTTGCTGAAAATATATTTTAATTACCTAATATTTAACATGAAATTAATTCTGACCTACCAAACTCATAGAGGAACACTGAAGGATGCTTTGATAACTACTTGACTTCCCCTTTGTTACTTCAAAGAGGAAAATATGTGCCTAGATGTCTGGACCCGGGTCTTGGGTGAAGATTTCTACTCTCCTTTCAGTTTTATGGCTTCTCTCTAAATGTCGCCTGTGGTGCAGCTGTGGCTTTGACACCTCTAGTATAATCGTTTTTGTTGACTCTTTCCAAATGTTTTCTGGAAGCTTGAGTTTGCAACTTACCTACATTTAGTTACAGTTTTCTTGCTCTATAGAAGAAAAAGTATAGCCCTAAAATCTGTCTCTGTGCTCGGTTATGACACCCTGAAAACTGACCTACTGCCTTGGCAGTCAGAAAGCTGCGCTGTCGCTAACTTTCTTGCTGTTACTTCCATTTCCTTTGTTTTTTCAGGAATCCTTTTTCATCTCCTTGCTATTATCTAGCACTCAGGTGAGCACTGCCGAGCTTGCCTACGCCAAAGCTTTGAAAATGTAACAAACTCCTAATACAAAATCCGAGGGTATTTTTATTAAGTCTCTCATTCCTTAGTTATGAAGTTCATGTTTATGTTTTCAAAGTTCTTTTTCAATTCAATCCTGTTTTTAAAGTATTTTATTATTTTCATTTTATATTTTTATGTGTCTGAGTATATTGCTTGCATGCATATAAGTGTACCCCGTGTCATGCAATGCCTACAGTGGTCAGAGGAGGGCATTGGATTCCCCTGGAACTGGAGTTATGGACAGTTGTTAGCCACCATGTGGGTGC